GCTCAGTGTGTTCAGCCATACGTTTCACTGAACAGGGTCAAACTGTATATATTTATTAATGTTGGTTTTAAGTTTCACTAAAGACAGTAAGTAGGGCTATGAACGGAGGACAATGAAACAGTCCGTTTACTAAAGATTGGCCCAGACTGACGAGCATTGCATGAAAACACGATGCCTGCTCGTTCATTTCAATGACATTTCCCTGCAAATTCAAAGACGTTTCACCAAAATAACTTTGACAGCAATGCAGAGGATCATCAACTAGCAAAGCACCAATCAAATGTGGGCATTGCAGGTCATCCTTTTGTAATCTAAATAGGAGAAAGGAAAGCAATTCAAGATTAGGATTTTGCATTTTGAGTCACATGACATTAGACGTTAGAAGTGGTCTATGGTTTTAGAGCTTCTGTCTGAATGGTTCCGACCCATCTTGTTCTATATATGTACAGATTAGCTTCAATATAATGTTGCCAAGGGTCTCATACTGTATAGTATAGTATAGTATGTAGTGGCTAACGACAAAAAAACTGCTAATGAAGCGCTTCTTGATTTCACTGACTATTAATCCCTTGACGTCGCTGTTCTATTTTCAGGTCTCGCCTGGCTCAGAGGGGATGTTTCTCACAGAGGCTACACATGTATACACTCACTGACTGTATGCAAGCAGCCTGTGTTCATAGATATTAACAATACTTGACTGTTGTCAAATCTCCTGAAAATCGAACCACCAGCCACGAAAACACAGGTCAAAAAGTGGATAAAGATCGCTGCTTGTGATTTCATAACATTAGACGGATGTGTCTCTTCTTCGGTGGTGTTAGCCAGCCTGGAAATGCATTAGCTTGCGGAGCCGCCCGTCCCCGTCCCCCGTCCTGCGAAACGTCATTTGTGTGATTTTTTTTTCTTATCTCCACAACAACGTATGGAATGTCACAACAAAGCCTTCATGAATGAGTAGGCACGATCCGATGAAGAGAGGAGGGGAAATGGGAGGGAAAATTGCTCATTTTGCTTCCCCTGGCATGCAATTTCCATTCTCTATTCACATCTCTCTAAAAAGCCATCTAAAACACATCAACTTCATCTTTCTAGGCTGGATGGGCCTCTAAGGATCACCTCCAGACATGCTACGATGACACTGGGCCTGAAAAGAAAAGGATGAAAATGACAATTCAACCCTCTTGCTTATAGCAATGGGCTTCTTATACCACTGCCTTCATTCACTTTTCATTTCACTTGCCCCTAGCAAAGAGAAATACTGTATATTGAGGTAACTGATCATTTCTTAGATGGCCTTTTCATCAGAGGAACTTTTTTTCATTTAGCTGTGTTACCATTGACCAGCACAACATTTATGCTCCAGGGCCTGACACTCTGTGGCTGACCCAGAGTCCTTTTAGTTCCTGCTTTAACTAAATAAATTGCTTTTAAATTGCATTTGACTCTGATCAGTTATGCTTTGATCCCCCTTGAAGACACACACACATGCACAGAAGCATTTTTTTTTTTTTTCAAGAGCAATGCAAAGAGACCATTACCATGCTTTTATTGTAGTATTAAGCATTACTCTGTTTGGATAGGAATGCCATTACATGCAGGAAGTGAATATAGGAAGCATTTGAGCAGCAGATGCTCGGTTCACATCCATACATGAAGGCATTCAGATCAAGGTCTCAAAAGGAAGTCGACCATGAAAATGATTTGCAGGGGAAAACCATTCTTATTGATACCTACCCTCTGATGAATAACAGCAGGGGAGGGCATATAGACAGCTGTAGGGGGGGTGGGGGGGGACTAGGCATTTACTTTTCAATACAGCCTAGTCTCGCCTCAGTGAGTAATCAAGGTTGCTATATTTTTTCTGAAATGAAACAGATTAAAGGACAGATAACTTGTGTTGGACTCTTAACACCGGCCTGACATACTTAGTGGGGTTATACAAATACAAATAATGACATCTCTTAAGGGCTGATGTACCTGAGAGGGGTTAAGCTACCTGAGGTCCACCAGTAAAGTATTCATAAATGGTGTATCCAAATATATACAGGAAAATAATCAGATTTTACGTAAATGAATGGTATATTTAGGCAATATATTGCCCACTCTTTGCATAATTAATGCAAATTATCTAAATTGATTTACAACTAAACTATTGAGAGTGGAAATAACAGCTTTACGGTAAGGCAGTGCTCGTTTATCAACAAACAAAAAAAATGGCCTTAAACTTGTTTTACACAAGGAATTTAGACAAAGATACAGGTAGGAAGAATTCAAGTTTAAAAGCTACAAAAGAAAACTACCTCTGGAGGGAACTTTTGGATTGCAGCCTTTGCAGACCATTGACATGCACAAAAACATATATAACACACTACAGGAAAAGGGAAAACACCAAAAAGGATAATAGGGCCCCTTTCATATGATAGTGAATAACACAACATAGTTTAACTTACTAAAAAATTACTCAAATGTGAGGTTTCTGATGGGGATGAAAAACACGACTATTTGCTGCAGACTGTGACATGAATAGAGAAAGGCCACAAGCCACTGCTTTAAAAAAAAAAAGGTCTCTTAGCATAATTTGGGACCGCTGAATCAAAACAATGAGTGGAAAGTTGGAGGCGAAAATACTTAAGCCAGAAAGGATAAGATTTAAATGTTGGTGTTCACCCTCATGAATCTTTCTTATGAGCAGAGCAACATGGCCAGACATATTGTAATCTACCTGATCTACCATACTTGTCAATTCATGACATGATGTCTGCAACAAAAATAAATAGCTTGGAATCAGATCGATGCCCTATGATTGTGATGGAAAATGGAACAAGGCATGGGGAAAGAGGAATCTCATCTTCACGGGAATTGGATTTTTTCAAAAGATTTAACTGAGAGCATGTGTGTTATGCATCTGGTCCACAACAGTCAATAAGTCTGCACAGAAGTCAGAATGGAGGGTGGTCCGGCTGAATTTGCACACATTGGCGCCCACACACACAAACAGACAAGCTGGATCACCTCTGGGTATTTCGATTTCCCCTTGTAGTCTTATTAATGTCATTTAATATCCATGATTGAGGTGGCCTCTCTCAACATTCTTCCTCACAAATCCTCATCAATTGCTCCAATCACTCCCCACACAGAGCCAATATTGCACAGCGAGACAACCCTTATTTCCCGCTATATTAATGAACTCTTTCATTTGAAAGCCTCTGACTGCCTGCCCCTTGATTGGAAAGCCAAGGCCAATAGGCATTGGTGACAGCTCCTTGAAAATGAAAAGTATCAATCAAGACGGGAAGGGGAGAAAGCTTGTGATGTCTTCAGATACGTCTGTCTGCCAGAGAGAGCATTGTAAGCCAAATTGGAACAATGGATATTAGCAAATATGTACTAATGTACTGGCACTGAGATTGATGTTGAAATTCAACTTTATTAAGAGCATCCACATTCTCAGTCAGACTTAAAATGAATTAAAAAACTGATTAAGTACAACAAATGTGACTGAAAATGACCCCGCCAATAAGACAGCGACTTTAATGGTGCATTAAGATGCCCTTTAAATCTACACTTAATTCATCAGGCAGCAGAAGAGGAATTGAATGCCGCTGGGTAAACTTGACCGGCATAAAAAAAGTGTGCCAATGCTGGATGACATAATCTCTGTCTAAATCAATTTCTGTGTGAGAGCACTCGACTCAGCTCAATATGTAGCTGCAGGGCTTGCGTTAAGTGGCCACTGCCACTTACCTATAAATTCATGTGCTGCTGGTTGCTCCTGTGGCAAAGTTTAACCCCTGGTATTCGAGATAAATAAAGATGATATTAAAATAGCATCATAAACCAAGAATATATCACCTACAGCAGAAGTAGTCAAGAAGAAATTGAATTGCAGAGCAAGATGACTTCAGAGCAGTGGGAATGGAGCACACGTGACAAACATAGACATCTTATTTTATTAACGAGCTGCTATGAATGTAAGTCTTTCTCTGCCTGCAGGCCTTGGCCTTAGGAGTTGATTGTTTCTAACAGTTTAAGAGAAAAATGTGTAAGAAGGAGCAGCTTTCTGGCAGTCGTTACTTGATAAAAAGGTGAGTTGCAAGTTACAAGGCTACAGTACCTTGCGTAACTCATATGTAGTGGGTGAAAGACAAAAACACCCCCCTCCCCATGTTGTTAAGCCAGCATCTGCTCTAATTTTACAGCAGTATAATTTCCTGATTCCCAAATATGTTTAAGGCTAACTCCAGTCTGATCCAAGACAGAGTGGAGCTCCAACATCCATCTGGGCGATCATAGGCCATCATCCACCCGAGCATGAGAGGGAGGCAGGGGATGGGAGAGGAACTACTAGCAAACACCGAGGCAGAGAGCTGACTCGTCAAGCAATCATTCAGCAGAAATAATTTGAAATGACTAAACCCGGGCACTGCTCGACACCCCTTTTCTGACACGCGTGCATGTGCACATGCACATACACCCACTCACACACGCATCAAAACACGCGCACTTTCCACAGGCACTTATACACACAAACACACACAACATTGCTGACGCACCGGAGCGACGCGCAAATGCGCACAGTGTTATTGCACATTTAACGTCGAGATAAAAAAAATCGCCGTAAAATTAACAGCCCGTATCCACTGACACAATGTAATTGTTGTGCTTGGATAATTGGGTTTTTACTAAAGAATACAGACGACTTCAGCAGTCCACTTCAGTGTCGTACTGCAGCCGTGAAGACTTCCCTGTAACATCCACTGAGCTGAGGAGGCTGCATCCGCAACTAAAGCAAAAGCAGCCACTGGGATTTATGAGGGGTAAACACTCCAAATGTGCATTTAAGTGCCGCATATTTGGAAGAACTGGAATCCGTTTGTAATATCAGCATAATCCAAACGGATCGTTAGTGCCCACAAACTGGTTCAAGCTGATCTACAGAAATCAGCACGGGCATCAAAATAACTTTGGAAACGAATAGACCAAACATATATTGAACTTACCCACAAGCAGTTTCCAAATGATAGCGTACACTCTGCTGTCAGTTCTGAAAGCCCCACACCATCACGGTGTATCAGAATCTGTTCTGGTCTACAGAGTAAAGCAGTAACGTTTGAAAAAGAAATCACAAGGAATCCCGTGCCGTGAAATAGTCCACTTCTCCAAAAAAAAACGCAGCGTCTATCCACAAAATTACATATTGCCAGGCTTGACTGGCGCAAATCGGAGCACAAAAACACCTGCAACCGGTCACTTTGAAACAGCAGGAGAGGAGAAAATGAAGAAAATCATGACAGTGATTAGGGGAATGGTCGAAAGAATCAATGAAGGGCAATATCAGAGGAGGCAATTAGTCTGAAGATCCTCTTAAATCAGTTAGCCGCTCACAGCCCGGCAGGTGAGCACCGCCTTTAGCAGGACTACACGAGCGCAAATTTCCAAAGTGATGTGCAGAAAAAGACACATCGGATGCCGTCTCTCTCTCTCTCTCTCCTCCGCTCTCTCAGAGTGCGGCGAGAAGTCAGCATGAGCTGAGCAAGACAGCACAGGAAAAGAGGGGATTTGGCGTCAAAATAAAAGCACGCAATCCGTCATCAACCATAATGCTTTAGTATGCTATTTGCAGACGCTACAGGGCAACAACTGCGGCACAAATTATTGCCAGACATGTTCATATCTCACATGGACCGTTTTAACAGATTATTGTATGACTTTTCCCCGAGTGCTGTGCTCATTTGAATGCATTTTCCTGCATGGCTTTTATTTTGAAGGACAGATCAGAGGCCTTGTTTGGATACTTTATCTGGCTTGACCTGGTACCAATGTGAACGCTCCAATGTGAGCTGCGTTCCTCTGGAGCCTTCATCCTCTACATGGCGCAATGAGTGAAACCTTCCCAATGAACGCTCATGAGGAAAATCAATCCTCATTATGCGAATGTTTTCGAGAAATAAATGTGCATGTAGGAATCACTTGGGTTACACAGAGGATAAAGAGCGCTGGATGGAGCAGGCAGCTTTAATGCAGTGCAGCACAAGTGTGAGGCCAGACGCACTGCCGCCATATGGAGATAACAGAAAGGGCTGAAAAGTTACCAAGGTGATGTACAAAATGTTGCTTGAATTAAAGTGAAAACACATGCTCAAGCTTAAGCCTAAAATGTTGAATATTGTTGTGCTGTGCGTAAAAAATCATACATTTTACAGATCAATTGGTACAGTTTATTGAGACTTTAAAAGTAACTAAACTAAATAATATCAAAGTAACAAGGCAGGCAAGTCACATTTAATGAGCAGGATATACATATAGGGGAGGCTGTGGCTCAGTGGTTAGTGCGCTGAACTTCGAATCAGGGGGTAGCAAGTTCGAGTCCCACTGCAGTCAGCATGTCGTTGTGTCCCTGGGCAAGACACTTCACCCCAAATTGCTCCTGTGGGGATTGCCCACAGTACTGAATGTATGTATATGGATAAAAGCGTCTAACAAGTGAAATGTAATGTAAATACACTTGACCTTAAACAAAGCAGACTTTAATTTTAAACAGAAAATGGTTCAAATGCTTTTGTTCATTAGCACAAAAAATGAAATGTTCTCCTTTTCTACTTCTGCTGGGTTTATAAAGGCAATCATTACTTTTTAATTAAACAACATTTTCCAATTTCACAGACAAATATTGAAGAAACACTTATTCGCTTTGCAGTGATACCCATTGTATTGTATCAACATTGATCACGAGAGATGAATGTGATATTATGTGTGGATTTCAATCTGCACACCAGTATTTATGAGTAACCAATCGACTCACATCACACAGGAAACAAAACCCAGTCTTGCTGAGGATGATGGATGCACAGTAAAGCTTATTTTATTCCTCGATCGCAAAGGTGGGTTACAGATTAAGGGCTGCTGGGTAAACAGGGGGTCCGTGTCGGAGAGCCCGGCTGCAGAAAACGGACTCGTTTGATTTCCCCCTCACTGGGCTACCCCTGTCAAGACTTTGGCCTCTGGCACAGCGCTTCTGTGAGGCGAATTTGGATGAGGGGAGGGCTTTGAGAAGGAGGAAAAACCACCCTCCTCTGACTGAAAATGTGCACTTGTGAGCTTTCTTTGTCATATACAGACCCTGACGTGAATAGGGGTTTCTTAATGAGCAGAAGAGTGGACAAACACGGCATTGATTCCTCGTTCCATCCGAGGTTGTCGTCCGCAAATGGCCTCAACTCAATCAACTGGTTAGTGTGCAACTTTGAGGACAAATGTCCAGTGAGGGATGATTGTTTGCTGCATACTTCCTGCTGGTTTGAGGAATTTGTGTGACTTGAAGAGTTGTGTGATGATTCGGGTGCATTCTGGATCTGCTCAGTTATGTTCCTCCATGGGTTAACAGTGATATGAATCACTCTCAAAACCCAGTTTAAAAACTACAAACACATCATCACTGAGCGCAAAACAAGGTTGTTATCTAACCTTCTCAAAAGCTGACAATTTAGAACAAAAATAATGTTTCAACCTGACAACACTGGTATGAAGCATTAGACTGTTCCAATTAAAGACACATCTGCTGATGTATGGAAAACATGTCAGAGGTTCTTTTTTTAAATGAGTAACTACATGGAGGTGTAACATCAATTAATGTGAAACTTTAAAAGATGAATTTGAACTCATTTGAATTGTGGTTGGTCTTGACTGATAATGAGGGAGGTATATGATAAAATAAGGTCAGAAGTAGAAAATGTACTCAGATCCTTTACTTAAAACCTCCATTGGACTCCTTTGTTTACTTCCTGAATGAAGTGACAGTCCTATGAAACACTCGCGCTGCTATTGGCTAGCGCTCCTACACATTGTTTAAGGGGCAGGACATCTCAACAGAGCCGGCCAGCTAACCAATCAGAGCAGACTGGGCTCTGGTTTCAGACAGAGGGTGAAAAGAGGTGCTGAAGCACAGACAGTATGAGAAAAATAAAGAGCTTTCTGAACATTAAAACATGGAGACATGTCACAGTAGAGACACAACATATGAATATGAACCTGAAAATGAGCAAAAGGCCCCTTTAAGTAATCCTGGATTGCCCGTTTTTATGAAAAATTATGCTAGTAATATTAGCATCTAAACCAGACATTTATACAGTAGTTATGGAACTTATTTGGTGCATAACCACAGCATTTTCAAGGGTTTTACGTACTGCAACACACTCTAATAAGGCTCAGCCGTCTGTCCCTGCCCCGCTCCCTCAGCTGCTTTTTTTGAACCTCATTTGGACTGGGAGTAATAATCAGACATTACTTTGTGAGAAGGGTTGTTTTCTGGGAAGGCTACAAATTTAATTGGGGTAATGAGGTCACTGGAGGAAGCCTCGAAGCCCTTCTCCAATTACTGCCTACCAAAACACAGAGTACCAACAGGACTTAGCAGAAAACATCTCAACATGTCATACCACACGGACTAACAAAGCGTGACCCTTCCTATTAAACCAATACGCATGTTTTAATTTGTTCCTATGCTTGAATAATGGTAGTGAAGACACTAGCAGCAAATACAAACATATTTTGACATGCCTCTGAGTCTGACTGCCTTACCTGTCTGACACATACTTTGTCAAATACCTCTAATTACAGGGTCATTTCATATGTAGGAAACATGTCTTCAAGTAAATCATGTCTGACAATAAGAGGATATAACCTCTCTTGTAGAGATGCATGTGTGTGTGTTTTTGGGGTGATGTCATCACGCAGTTCATGCATTATTCACCGCTCATCTCCAATTCAGTTCAGCTCCGATCAGAGAAGATTTAATGAGATACGATTTGACATAAGTTGGAATGTGATAAGAGAGTCCACGGCGCTGCTGCTTCTGATGCACTTGTTTTGGACAACCGTGGGGAGTCATAGCACCATTTCATTTTATCTCTAACGTGTTTAAAGAAATGATAACAGCCATATCCAAGGGCTTTATTTGTGTTTATATAATACTGCCCCACATGAATGCAAAATCATATTTTTTTAAAGCAAATATGAGTAGCTTATTGATTAACAGAGTTCTAAGATGAAACAGCAGTGTATTTAAAGAGGCCCTGTTGTGTTTTTTGGAGTTTCACCTAGTGTGTTATATAGGTTTGTGTGCATGTAAATAGTCTGCAAAGGTCCCAAAGTTAAGGAACATAGAGACATCGCTATGCAACACACGCACTTCTATTGGCTAGCACTCCAACACATTGAACGTTATAGACTTAGGGGTGGGACATCTTAAAGTGGTTGATCAATCACAACAGAGCTAACCAATCAGAGCAGACTGGGCTCTGGTTTCAGACAGAGGGTGAAAAGATGTGCTGCAGCACAGGAAGTATGAGAAAAAAATGTGAACATTAAAGTGTGTAAACATGTCCGATACTGCAACAAATATGAACCTAAAAAATGAGCAAAACCGGACCCCTTTAACCTGCACAAAGAGTATTGTTGTGCCACTAATGGCGCATTTCCACTACACGGCCTCGCTCGGCCTCGCTCGGTATGGCTAGGCCTCGTTAGGCCTTGTTAGGACTGGCTCACTTTATGGCGCATTTCCATTACAGTTTAGGAACTGGGGCAGTAACTAGTAACGCAGTGTAGGCGGAGCCGTGACGTCATCTTCAATGAGAACCGTTAGCTGTTAGCACTCAAGCTCACAGCTGCTCATATCTGTTCAGAAACTAGACAAAAGTTAAACAAGTACACACCACAGACTGTCTGTGTCATGGCGAATACAGTCGCTGGTTTATTTATGTCTGTATAGGCCGTTGTTGTGAGTGTGGACGGTCGGAGCATATACTGCGTTAGCTTAGCCGATCTCCATTTAGAAAACACGCATTTTAAAAGGTTTTTCGCCTGCCGTCTGTCTGCAGACTTGTCAAAGCATTAATTCATGGTTTTTACTAACCGGTATCAGTATGTTGTTACTTCGGCATCATTTTGAAACGTGTATTACAATTAAATCACGGTCAAATATGTTTATCTTGTTGTAGTTGTAGCCGCCTTGCCAGCGATTCTCTCTCTAGTTTAGCATACTCAGCCCGACTCAGCCTGGTTGTTGGCCCGGAAAGAACCTTGATTTTATGGGGCCAGAAAAACTGTGAAATAGTACCCGCTAGCCAGAACTACGCCAAGTGGAAACGCAACCAAAAACGGGCCCCGCGCGGCTCGGCACGCTTAAAGCGAGCTCCGCGC